AAAGATCATTAAAGAAAAAACTGAACAGTTTCAAGAAGGACTTAAAGTTAGTGTTCTTTTTTTTTTTTTTTACTTTGAATAGTTTTTACTTTGCTGAGTTAATCAAATTTGCACGCAACAGCTCTCACTTTAAAAATAGTGGATAGCTATTAACTGCTTGGACAAGTGATAATGAAGGGTTTACTACTTAATAGGTATAGATATAGGCCATATCAAAATATCTGAAATAAAATGAATTTGCTTTGATCTAGCAAGACAGATTTACATATTTAGGCAAGCTCTGTAATGTTGCTGCAGATGAAAATGTATATCCAGATGTTATTCCTTATCTTCACTAAAGTGCTTATTTGGTATTCGCATCTGTCATGCAAATAGGGATATTAGGCAAATCATTTGCCTGTAATTATAGCCTGAGGCTTAACAATACACACTTTTTAGTATTACGTATTAGAATTTAATCCTAATCCTTTAGAAACCGTGTATCAATTGGTGCCATGAAGAAGATTTAAACCATTTTTCAGGCACTTGGCTGATTACAATAGCAAAAATGATAAATAGTGGCAAAGTTGCACCATTGTGTACCATTGTAATGCTGGACAGTTTACCTCAGTTTACCTGTGTTTATATGATGAAGTTGGATTTTTGTGGTTTTTAGATGCGCTGTGAAAGATTTGTGGAGGAACTGGAGAGTTATGCTAAGCAAGTTGAAGAATTTTATTCTTATGGTGACATTCAGGAGGTCAATAGATATTTGAAAAAAGCCCAGGCTCTGAATACCAAGTTAGATGCAGCTGCTGATAAGGTAAGGTCTTCTGTTTTCGTTACAATTGTTTTGTCTTAATTTAGTGAGGGAACACATTGTTATCATAGCGAACAACACAGATTCAACCGATTCAATAAATGGGTATCGGAAGATGGATATTTGAAGATCTTAGAGCCTGAGAATATTTGACCAGGGATCTGATTGAATCTATACTTTGTATATGCTTGGTTTACATTTGAAATCATTATTAACTATGCAGGCATAAAAAAGCAGTTTTATACTGAGTGTCTTGGTTTAGCTGTCTTAATCCTGNGCTGACTCTGTAAACCGCTTAGAGAGGGCTGAAAGCCCTATGAAGCGGTATATAAGCCTAACTGCTATTGCTATTGCTATTGTAGTGCATATACCAAGTTGCTCAGTTTGGCAAAATGATTCTGCCCTTCCAGGAGCATATTGATAGTACGTCTGCTTAGAGTGCTGCTCTGACATGAGGGCATGGGCCAAAAGACCAGCCTTTTTGGTAGAAATGCAAATATATGAAACACGCTGGTGTGGAAATACGCTGGATCTCCTTATTTATGACGTTCTAAAAGTCTAAAATTCTCCTTTTAAAATGGACCTTTGCTAATCTGAAGAAGGAGGGCAGGCATCTTACTACGTTGTTATTCAATTTGTCTGGTTGAAATTCTCTGTCCTCTGTAAAAGACTGGGAAGTTAAAAATTATAAATTCCTACTTATATGCATAGAATTGGCTGTATAAAAGGAAGTTCTTTTCTGGGAAAGAGGGAACCTCTTCAAGGGAGATCAGACTAGGAAACCAAAATTATGTAGGCCCTTACAACTTTTATTGTAAAGCTATAGTAACAGAATCTTGCAAGACTGACTGTGCCTCCTTTCTCCCTCCCTTTATCGTTGATTTCTCAGGTTACAGCTCTGCCTTGGACCCAGGTTTCTTTTATCTGACTTGCTTTGGCCTCAGATATTCCTCCACTCCCTCAAGGCCATTCCCTTTACATCAAGAGAAAAAAGGATTGCTTTTCTTCTCTGGAAACCATAGGAGATATATCTGCCTGGGAGTGCCTAGGCTTATTATCCGTCCAAACCTCCAGAAATGTTCTACAATCTAATGTTCAGTTCATTTTGTTCTGTTCTGCAGAGACTGGGAGTCAAAACTTTTGTTGGTTCAGGAAATCTTGGATGAGTGGCTGAAAGTTCAGGCTACCTGGCTATATTTGGAGCCAATTTTTAGCTCTCCAGACATTATGGCTCAGATGCCTGAAGAAGGTAGGCGATTCACCACTGTGGACAAAACATGGAAGGATATCATGAAACATGCCATTCAGGTAGTAACAATTCTCTTTGGAATAACTAATTATAACATGGGGTTGATATGGTTTTGTTCATATCTTTATTGTATGCATTCTGTTCATCATGAAATTAAACTTGGGAAGTACACATGAAAAGGGAGATGAATGTCCCTTCTCCCCCCCTCCAAGAGAAGGGCGAAATAAAAGGGGGCATAGCTTTGCATAAAAGGTGCATATATCCGTTTGGACATTTTAATATATTTTATCCTAGAGATAACGCAGTAGAACACTGAACAAAGAGTAACAGGCTTTGAAGGGAAAGAAGTAAATAAAATAAAGAAGTAAATAAGTAGCCTTTGTGCAGTGTTGTATCCAGATATTTCTTTGTTTAGTTAGCCAAACCTGAGAGACCGCCTCCTGCCGATTACCTCCCATAGACCGATTAGATCTCACAGGTTAGGTCTCCTCCGGATTCCATCTGCCAGCCAATGTCG